TGACTCATCAGTACACTGATGGTGAGATTCCCGTTAACTCCTTGCGTATAGCAGAAATCCAGCTTTAGGTGAATCCAATCAATATGTTCAATATTTTCTACAGTGCTATCTTCCATCAGAAGCCTGCTTGTTTATATAAAGGCAGATACTTGTGAAAATTATAAAGATCAAGCATGATGTGGGGGGGGGGGGCCGACATTGCTAATTGTTTGTTAATACGGATAATGGTTGGACAGTTTTTAATGTAGCTGTGGTAATAGCTGCTCATCAATTGTTGCTGTGATATGTTTGGAGCACATTGACAGCAACGGACAGCCTTTGATGGGGCACCTGTTGGGGTGTCAGTGAGATGAACAGGAGATTTAAACCCTTACAGAGCCAGACAATGTCACACTTAACCATACATATGTATAACAGCATGGCAGAGACACATCCAGAAAAAGGGAGAAGGAAAGTGGAGACAGTAGATAGAAGGGCCATACAAAGACCAGAGAGGTTTAGTTTAGTAACACTTAACTTTGACCTGGAAGAGTGGAAGTGGGTATATCCTCCCTCAGTGGCCAAATTCATTTTCAGCGTACTCCAACCCAAAACATAGTGAGAAGAACATACAGTGGACTGTAAGGGATATTAAGACAGGTGTGTAATGTACACCCTGACATCATTTTTGGGCGTGGTCAGAAGGGTGCTCTGGTTCTCCTATAACCACACTCAAAAGTGATGTCAGGGTGTACATTACACAGTGGAATGTACACAGTGTGTAATTTACACACCTGTCTTGACATCCCTGATGGACCACAGACCACACTATATTTTCCTGTCTTTTCTGAGCTTGATGATCTCACAGATATCCCACTGCTGAACACTGCCTATAAGCTCTTCTGCACTAGCAGGTGCAATCTAGACTCACAAGCCAGTCTCTAAATGCTTTGCTCATGAGACTGAGGACATTCTCCCAGCTTTTGTTGCTAAAACTGGGTGGAAACTATTTCAGAGTTTATCTGCATTGTAGAGTATATATTTTTTCAAAATGGAAAAACTAACTTTAGCTATTAAGCTGCTATCATCTCATCAATATGAATCTGAAGCTCTACCTTTAATTTCAAAACTTGCAACTTAAGTATGATGAAAAGAGAGGATCCAGACCCAAATTAACTCACTACAAACTTGCTCCTCTCCCAATTCATGCCTCTCCCGTCCCAGCCTGAACCCGCTGTGTCTTTGTCCTCCCTGGAGTCCTGATTGGAGCTGCTGTAAATCACCTGGCCCTTGTCAGTCTCAGAGGCTGTGAACCCGGTCCCGTTGCGCACTCGTCCAGCTCCGGTTCCGGTGCTCATTCTCCTCTGCTAGCTCCTACGCTAGTAGTTTAAACAAATCTCCCACTGTCCTTTAAGCTCCCAGTCAGGGTAGACTCAGCTAATAGGACTGCTAAATAGCTAATGACAGCTAGTACAGTGGTGCAACAATCCCCCTGATACTTTAGTCCCGGTGACAAATGGAGTGTGACATTGTAATGTTTTTTCGTGGCTTAAGAAAATGCAGCTTCAGCTTGTTTGTAACAAGCATCAACAAGGACAGTGACGAAATCACTTAAAACTCTTAAACCCACAACTGGGTTTATACATGCCCATTTAAGAAAGGGAATATGTTCATTTTTGTATGTTTTTTTTTCACTTTTAAAAATATGACATCCTACAAAATGTAAAGCCACCTAAAAGTATGTAAGTTTTAAATATAGTAAATACTGTCCCCACAATACGTTAGTCAAACACTTAACAAGCATCCTGGAAAGAGGCTTGATATTCCTATGGTGAACTGCATCAGTCAATATAAGGATTTTTGAGAATGTTATGCTCTAAAGGCCGATTTTAGGTGGAGATTCATTTTAAGAGAATGTTTGTCCATACAATAATGACAAAAAAAAAGTCAGATTATACCCAGCCATCAACAGCCTGTTCACCCTGCTGCCATCTGGCAAGAAATACAGAAGTATCCACTGCCATATCACCAGACTAACAGATCTGCTTCGTTCTTTGGGCTCTAAGACTACTGAGTTCATCCTCCACTCTCCACTTTTTTGTGTAGCATAAAGGGACTATAGCTTGCATTTCAATGTACAACCCTGTGTTGTAGAATGATATATACATGAACCTTTAACCTTGAATGTTGCCTGTAAACAAATAAACAGAAAAGTATTGAAGAGAATGGAAAAAAACTGACCCTCTCTCTTGTAATACATCTATACATTTTTTAAAACAGGAAGTCAGGCTCTCTGTAGATAATGCTGTTCTTCTAGTGTGTACAGTTATGTTTAAGTGTTGAATGTCCTTCAGAATGTAAAGGCTGAGCACCTTTTCAAACAGGAACTGACCCCAAGTTGGTGTCTTCTCAACCATGTTGTAAAATTAAACGTTGTTCATCCGTGGTGCTTCCACTGCCTCATTGCATTTTAAAAAGTCAGCACAAAGCCTGACCTTTATTCATGCTTTTGCAAAAAAAGTTTTCACGCATTACTTATAGACTGTTTGATGTCACCATATCTGTTCAACACAACTCTCTAGTTAACCCAATTCTCCACTACGAAAGAGAACAGTGGCCTAGATTGCTGATAGATCAATAAAGCATAGAATAAATCAGTGTGACAGTGCATTTTAGGAACACACCCACTGGAGCACAGGGTACAGCCTGTTGCACTTATAGACTGAATATTGAGTATTGAATAATTCATTCTTTCTCACTTTCAAGTGGTTTTAGAAAAGTGCTGAATTTTAATACCCATCCAAGATGATCTCCTATCTCATCCAAAAGCCTTTCAGCTTTCAGGATCCACCTCCTTCACTCCCTAACATCTTCTTTCCAAATTATGGATTTTCTATCTCTAGAACTCTAAAGACAGCAAATGACCAAATCATGATAATACATACAAGAGTCTATTGATACATATACTACATTTTTGATGTCTTCTCTCTCACTTAATCCCCAACTGTCACAACAATCTATGCATCAAATTCGCAAGTCACAACAATACGAAAACAGAATGACAGTCAACTGAATACTCCCTCTACTTTTCAATCAATCTCCTATTACAGCACCATCAAACAAACCATTTGTACATAACATTATTAGCTACTTGACTGGTGCTGGCACTCCCAACATGAACAAACTCCTGGAAATTATAATTTGCCATAAACCCCAACAATACGAAACAACGTTCTCTCTATTTCAAATGTTTATTTTGGATTCGTTTTTAAATAAAAGCCGCACAGCACCAGCAACCTCTGGTCAGCTTCTCAATCTTGGTCACTCAAAACAGACCTGTCACCAATGGAGCGGTTGTCATGTTCGTGGACAAACAACACAAAGAATCAAATGACTCTCAACAGGCCACGCCTGTCGACACACTAACAAAAATAAATCATATTTTGTGAGTGATAAATTGCGATAACCCAATAACCTGTTCAACAATGATCAGTCAATCAGCTCCACAGGAAATTAATGAAATCCCGTGACCACACGGTAATAGTACAGGCTGTCCCAAGAGGCCGATTTCATATCAAACCAACTGTTTGTGTGGAACCAACAGCATTCTCAATCTAGTAGTAAAACTTCATCACAAAAGTGCATTATTGCTCACTACTACTTCATTTATGTATGTATGTCACCCAACAAGTCGGAGGCTGAGGTGAACGGTTTTTCCCACTCAGCTGCTTGTTATTACTCAACGATATGACTTGAACACAGCATAAAACAAACAGGGCTTTCTGTTCAGTAGTAGTACGTGGACGCATGAAGCTTTACCCAATTGAAAGAAGCATAGTTAATTAAGCCGAAAAATGTAAAAAAAAAAAAAAAATCAGAAAAAGAAAGTAAATAAAACTTAAGAGGAGTTTACTTTGGCAGCACTGTGGTGTCATATTCCAAATGATCCAAGATGTGTTTCTGGGATAAAAAGCAATGGCCTAACAAAAATAATTACAGATGGTGGGTCTAAATACAATTACCAACTGCTTCTCGCATATTTATTCTATTGTCTTCTAACTGATGTCCTGCTCGACTCATCGTCAGTCAATGCTGCCAGCAGATAACCTTATCTACTCGAACACACATGAATGGATCCCCAAGTTTATTATCTGATGGACATTTTTCTTGTGGCACGTGGCAAATGCGTAGGCCTAATCTATTGGAACGAATGAAAAACTTATGTACACCTACATTTGTTTGCCCCTGGAAGTCATCAAACACTGAAATCCCCCCCCCCCCCCCCCCCCTGCCACCATGACCTCAAACCTATGAACCCATGTCAGTGTGTAACAAAGCCTCATGACAGCAAGTGCTTGATTCAGTCAAGCTGATGTAGAAAACCAGGCTTCATGCAAATTCTGGCACTGTTTCCAGAGTGATGTTGCGCACGAGGGGCGGCGTGACCTTTCCTGCCACTCATTTAGGCAACTTTTTACGCCCCGCACTATTCGGGAGTCATGATTTCGCCAATTCACGCATCAACCATGAAAGAAGCTCGCACACAGACTTGTTTACACCGCTCGACAGAAATAAACCGGTGTGTCATCTTATGTGCCGAAACAGTCACCGCCGCTGTTAAAAGGCTGTGATGACAAAATATCTTTTGGCATGTATGCGCACCTTCAGGACCATCACTCCGCCTGTAGCTATTCACCATGTCCTCCGCTCAGCGCTGCTGTCACTTTACCACGACTTTCAACTCGGCGACAGACTGAGGAGTTGAGCCCGCAAATTACATCTCGTCTATCTCACTCCAGTCCTAAACAATTATATGTCAAAGTGTATGAGAAGCGACGCGAAGTACTACGAGCAGAAATGAACAAACCTTGTCTTCGCAAAGCTTGAGAAGGGTTAGTTTCGCCTGTTAAAGGGCTTAGTCTACACCGCTTTTTACATACGCGACGCCCTCCCCTTTACTTCCTAATTCCATTATTCGTCAATATTACAGAGCATTTTCCTTGGACGTGGTTTTATCCTACCTCGTAAAGGTCTCCCGAAGCCATTCTGGGGTGCGGACTCCGGCGGCGCGGCGTTCTTGCCTGCCTTGTTGGCTTTTTTTGGACCCTACTCTCTCGGTGTTTCGGCGAAAGCCCCGATAGACGGGAATTAGCGAGCAGCCTTGTTATTCTGAGCAATCCGCAGTAGCAGATCAGCAGACAGTGTCAATCGAGCCCGGCGCTCTGCGATGGATCGTCCCACACTTAAAACAAACAACCATCGGGGCGGTGCTGTTTACCCAGACCCAAGTGGAGGACTGGAAATTAGTCCCTGGTTTAAAGACTGCACAGCCTGATGGTCTGCATGCGCCCTGCTCCTCTGAGCTCTGTTGCAATCCAACTACTCAACGGGAGATGAAATGCTGGGTGTCTCGTGTTCAGAGACACCAGTTAACCACTCTACCTGTCCACTTCACTGCCAAGGGAAGATCCCATTTAACCTTCATTTAGAGTCATTAGGAAACATCCAGAACAAATGATTTGGAACTATTTATGACTTCAAAACTATGCTTATTGATGTTTACTAATACCCCCCCCCCTCACCACAGTGCCAACATTTTTATAATATTTATATAGGCATGGTTGAAATGGATCAGTTCTTGAAATAAACAATGTACTGCCATGAAAAGTACACAATTAAAAACCAAACCAAAACCAAAAATAAAATATTTTTCTGATTTTCATTGTACACCCAGTTGCAACCGATAAAATGATCTCATTCAACAAGGACACAGTTCTCACAGGCTTCTCATCACCACAACATTATCAGTGTTGTGTCATCAGCTTTTTATAGTGGGCTAAAGATTTATATGGTAAGGCATCACATAAGTTAGCACATCACCATGATTTATTGATCATTTGTGACTTAATCTGACATGTTGAAAAGTTTTTCATCTGTGAAGATTATGTGAAGAGTGGCATTTCAAGTTAATATAGCCTACTATAGATCATTATAAGATGAATGTCTTGTTCCTTGTATTTGGTGCCCACAGTGTAAGAAATGCCTTTTTAATCATAGTATTTTTTTATGCCATGCACAATACAAAAAAAAAACAAACATTTAAAAGGATCAACAGAAAGTGTGGAAATCCATTAACAATTATCCTTATTTTTTATTGACTTTCTGTATTTCATTCATTCCTTTTTGGTTTTGTTTGGAAATTTGAAATGCTGGCCACACATGTTTGATCAACCATTCAACAAACTAAGGAACCCTCAGTCAGTGTTACTCACTTAAACTTTAAGCTTTACACGTACACAGCATATATGAAAACAAAATTCTTCCTATTTTTGATACTGAGATTTGTGGAAATTAGTTCAATGCACATGATGTTGCAACTGTTCTCCAGGCCACAACAGATTTGGAGCATAACTGTTCCTGTGTGTGCTTCAAAGTAAAAATATCTCACCATGCTGTTTTAATAGAAAAGAAAAATCAATGTAAAAACGAATGCAGAAGAAAATTTGATTGCCAGGCCATGTTGATATCACAGCAGAGTTGTAAACTGTTGCTTTTTTGCCCTTCATTTAATATTAATATGAATGGTGGTTGGTTAGAGGGATTTGAAATACTGCACAGAAAGGCTTGTAGCATAATAACAGATGTTAGCCCAACTTTCAGTTTCAAAAATGTTGCAAGTTCAAGGTTCATTTGCTTGAGTTTTTGGAGATGCTGAACCTAATGACATGTTTTAGAATATATTAACATTACCAACCAGAACTGGTTGTTGATGCTGGAAATTACTGCCCCCTTTCTCAGAATATCATGTTAGATCTCCCAGTAATGTACAATTCCACACATCTGGATGTACATTATTTCTCAAAATGTACTCATATAACATTATATAACAGGGAATATGTGAGTATATATATATATATATATTCTACAAGTCACTGAGTTTGGTTTAAGGGTTAAGGTCAAAGCATGTTACGGTTCAGTTAAAAAAAAAAGTTGTGGTTAGGCATTTAGTTGAGACTGTCATGGTTACAAGGTTACATTGGTTCCAAACCTGAGGGACCCAATGCCACTAGGGGTCGCCAAAGCTTCACATTGGATTGATAAGGCCTTCTTGATTTTAAGAGGTGTAAGAAAACTTTAAATACATATATGTATATATATGCTATAGTCTTTATTTGAAAGCTATTGTAGACTTCACAAAGCTGAAGAGGGAAATGTTTTTAAATAAGAATAACAGCAACATAGGACTTTTCTTAGTGGAGTCATATCCATACTGTCATGTTTTCACTAAAGAAAATATAGTACCTATACTTTTGTAAATGAAAATCAGCTTAAACTGTCAGCATGCAGGAAGGATGAAGAAATGGCAAAACAGCAAATGTCATATGGATGTATTTCATGTAGCTGTAGATTAGGAAACAGTTATAGACTTACTGTATTTGGAAAATTTGTCATAAAAGAACAGAGCAATTTGGACAGGTATTTTCCAGATCATGTTTCACAATACAGACCAAGTGCTTCATTTTGCCATTGTGTTTCTGGTTAACACCTATATCTGCTGTTGGCAGCACTGCGCCATATTTCAAATGGTGTAGGTACAGTACATGTGTGAAAAGGGGAAATTAATGCTTTCTTTTCAGATCACAGAGATGTTGTTTCTTCTGTTATTATTGAGTCAGTTGCTATTTTCCGTTGTGACAGTTGAGATTGTGACTTGTCTGTCATTTTGCATCATTTCATTCACAGCTAACCTCTTCAGTCATGGTACAGTGTTAAAGAGACAATAACCATTTAGCTTATAATATCCTTTGAATATGTTCAGTTATCGTAACAGTAACAACTTCACTCATTAACTTTTGCATTTAATGGCATGACAATTATTGAATAAGGCACATTTGCCAACTTTCAGTTTTACTTTTAAATTATAATCAGTGTTCATTATTAGACTGACTTAATGTTTTTACCTAATGTGTAGTGCTACTAGTTCTACTCTACATATTACCCTAACCCTAGAGTTGACGTGTTCTGTTATAGTGTGTTAAAGAAGAGTGTTTCGGAAAATGAAATCTTCATGAATAAATTATCATGTAAAATGAAATGTATTATTCACAACAAATGTACTTTTTATTGTTTGTAGAATATTCTGAAAAGCTTTACAAATCCAATTTAATGTTATGATAATCAAGACAGAATTTGCTTGCTCATCTTAATTTTCACGTGAGTCAAACTAATAATGATTCAGTCATAATTACTATGGCCAAGAGGGCTTGCCACTTGAACATTATCAATTATAGATTTTGGGAATTTGCCAAAACAACTGATGCTGACATTCTTGGGAGGATAGTCTCGCACATGAGCATGCTGTGATGTGATACACAGTATACCACATTGTAAATATCCACCAAATTGGCTTATTTATTTTTTTTGAGGAAGGAAATGCATTCAACAGGCCTCAAGGATATACACATTGTGTTTCAGTGAGAAACACTGAATGTCCACAAAACTTTGTTTGTTTACAAGAATACTCCACAGGGTACCCTTGAATTTACCAAAATAATCTAAATAATTTGGGGGGCGCTCATCCAATTATACACCAAATAACCTTCTGGTTAAGCAGCTTTGAGCTTAAATGTGAAGTGCTTCATTAATAGCTACAGAGTGCACAAAACTTTAATCACTTATTCCAAGGTTAATTTTAATTGATAGAAAAAAATGCATGTATAAATATAAGCTCCTTGGTGGATGTAATAAAATGTGTTATTTAAACAATTTGGATGTTTAAGACTGTTCAGTAAGTAAGTGTTACAACTTAGGTACCTCAGGATTTGGCTCATACGCAAAACAGTACAGGCAGCATGATGTCTTTGGTGATTTAATGAGGATAATTCCACTTACAGACAGGTTCAAGACAAAATTGTGCAGGAAAAGCAAAAACAAAAAATCCAATAAGGCAACACAGGGAACAAAGATACCAGGATCAAGACAAAGTCAGGGGCAAGTGACCTGGGAGGTGAACAGGTGTGGAGCCGAAGAAAGCAAATTGGTAGAGCTGGTCTCAAGGACACAGGATAAGGACCAGAGACCGGCGGCTGGAGGGCAAGAAGGTGAGCCGATTGAGCCAGGGAAACAGAAGACTACTGAAGTTCATCCACTGAAGACAACTGCAGCACAGGAAGAGGAGCTGCAAAACAGATGTCGGCTGGTCTGCAGACAGAGAACCAGGAACGAGTGTCAGCCGGACCACCGACAAAGAACCAGGAACAGGTGTCGACTCAGTAGTGCTGGGCAGCGGTGAGGCCAAGGAGCTGGGCAGCTGAAATACTGTGGTAGTGAGTGGCGAAAGCTCTGTGACACTGGGCAGCCACAGTCATTGGGAACCATGACAACCTGGTCTCTTTCTGTGGCCTCCATGGGAACGAGTGAAAATGGCCAGGCAACTGCCCTCAAAAGGTGACTTCTGGATGTCAGGGAGGCTCCTTAAGCAGGTCATTAAAGTCTCAGATGGATCATGAAAAGGTGGTTGGCAGGCCAACTCAGGACTGCAGGCTCACAAACCCAAGCCGAACCTACTGGAGTGCTGACTGGAAGCTAGGATACTGAATGCTGACAAATGAGGGCTGGTGGCTAGCATGCTAGTGGCTAACATGCTGCAGGTTAGATGAGTGGGAAGCAGAGGAGGCTGGAGTGACAGGAAGAAGAAAAACAGGAGGTGGTACATCCATAGTCACCCCAAAAACAGTCCACGTGGTGAGCGTGGTTTTTTCATTTTGTTACAACTTAGGAACCTCAGGAGTGGACTCACGGTACTCAACTGTACAGGCAGCAGGATGTCTTCTGTGATTTAATGGCTTCCAGAAATTGTCCTTAAAAAGCAAAAAGGAAAAATCCAATAAGGCAACACAGTGAGCAAAGAAACCAGAAACAAAAGTAACCAAAGGAAAAACGACCAGAGCCAAACCCAGGAGCAAAGTTTCTAAAGCAAAGTATTCCAGGGACAAGATCTGCATGAATTGACACAGAATCAAGAAAACACAAAGACTAAATTCACAGGTGAAAATAATAAAGTTGGGGAAAACAACAATAACTGGAGGGAAAACAGACAAAGACTGTATGTAGAAGCAAAACAAGACACAAAAGGATGATTTTACAAAATAAAAAAAGGAAATAACTAAGGAAATCCCCAAACCATGGCAGTAAGGGATCATATAAAGTGATTATTTTTTGTTAA